GTATGTAAACTTAATAAAAAAGTCTACAATTAAAACTGATTTCACTCTCCTTCCTAGTAATTTATTATCCTCAAACTTTTTAATAACAATTACATACAATTCATTAGCAATTTCAATAATGATAGTCTAAATGCTATAATTCATTTATCATTTTAGCTAGAACATGGGTTCCCACCCTAGGGGCCATGGGCTTATTTCTAGGGTCATAGAGTAGTCTGGGAATTATGACAATTACCTACAGTAACTACAGATAATTATATCTCACATATCAATAAATAGGAATCTCTCCATATAGTGTTCTTGTCCTATAGCCATTAGCACCATTACACATGACACAATAACTGAATGAAAAGATGACAGACATCAGACGGGGCCATTAAGATCATTATATATTGGTCGGCTGCCACAGAATAGAAAAGGGTGGGAACTACCGATTTAGATCATAAGCACAGATAAGTACCTTGTCAGTAATCGCAGCTCTTACATCGATAAAACTAACTGTCGAGCCATCTAATTATAGACCATATTCTCTATTCAACTGTTTGTTCACTTTATAATCCTCGCAGATATTTCTCTCCAGAACAAACCGTTTTATCGAAAGCGAAACTCTGCAGAATGTGGGATTGTTTTGACCTACACAAGGACTTTCTTCTTTTGACCTATCGGTTGCATATAGTTCATTCTGGAAGGACAGACACAACCACATACATCAACACACAACAGGGGAAATACTGATTGCGGCCTGGGCGTCTGGCGTTATTCCCCCCGCCGCTTTCCAGGTCATTCAACCGTGGGCGAGATCGCAGTCACAGGCTGTATTTTTTGCCCCCTCTCGTAGATTCGAACTCGCGATCGCGTATTCACGGCCACGGTGACGAGGAGCAACAAATGTTTAGGAGAGGTCTTTATATAACATTTTTGTGTTTTTATGAGTATGTGTGTCCTTGAGTGCGTATGAGCTTGCGGTAAACTATTACTGTGTGCTTAGCATGTTTATGTTTAGTGTGTGGACGTATTTGTGCGTGCGTGCATATATGAATGTGACTGTGTGTGAGAGAGAGTGTGTGTGTGTGTGTGTGTGTGTGTGTGTGTGTGCGCGAGTGATTTTTTGTAATTACATAAGCGTTCTGTAGATATACACGCATATATTTTTGGGCGCGGTGGTCGTGAGTAGTATTCTTGCTATTTTGATAAGCTTTAAAATCGCTATTAAAAGTCCATTCTTGAATTTCACTTAACTTCAAAACACAAACACATACAAATACAACCGAGAGTGCTCGCACGCACACGCAGACACAAAAAACTCCTGAGTACCATCAAAGTCAGAATGTCCAACCTGGAGGCCACGGAATGCTTTCTGGGAGGGCCATGAATCAATATAAAAATTATGACATCCAATTAAACTGAATTTTATCTCACCTACAATACAAATAGTTATCTCTCTCATAACAATAAACTGGAATCTTTCTATAAAGAGTTCTTGACCAGTAGTTTCTGACACTATTACGCTATTCATAACTAGTAACGACTGAATCTGAAATGATGACAGTCACTGAACAGGGCCACGGAGATTATTAAATACTGGTCGGAGGCCAGAAGGATAAATGTTGGAAACCACTGAACTAGGGTTACAAAAAATAATATTCATGAAAAGTGAGCTGTTGGACTAAACAGTATTAGCAGCTTAAAAGATTTAAAGAGATAGATAGAATGATAGACAAGTAGATAGAGCGGCAGATGAAAGCCGTAAGAGGCGAAGAGAATAGCACACACACACACACATATATATACATATATATATGTATGTATACACGCACGCACACAAACACACACATACACATATATACATAGATACATACACAAACACATATATATATACATATTATATATATATATATATATATAATATAATATGTGTGTGTGTGTGGTGTGTGTGTGTGTGTGTGTGTGTGTGTGTGTGTGACAGACATACACAAACATGAAAAATTCTCAGCCAAAGAACCAAAACGGGCAGATAATACAAATAAGAGAGAAGCGACGGGCGCGCGGTGGGGGGGGCCTTGCTGGGGGGGGGGGATAGGGGCAGCAGAGGCGCAGGTGCGAGTTGGACCGTTAGAGTAGAGTAAACGAACCGCATAGATGCAGGAAGTACTCATGTGGGGGTAATAATGATTAGCTAAGTCAGTCTATTACGTTTATTCAAGGACCTCGTGAAAAAAATCGAATCTGTTTTTTTTGTGTTATCATTTTCATATTTTAACTCACACACATACACACATGTTTCTGTGTTTGAAAATTTGAGACATATAGATACATGCACACTGGAGCTTCAATCAGGTATATTCTGCCTAAAGTCTGCAAGCAGTTTTATATGTTTTCTAATTACACATCTTTGATGTTATATAAATTCTACTGGCGAATAAAAAGACAAATATACAGCGTATATATGTGTTTATGTATATATATACATATATATACATACATATTGTATACACACACACTGAATTACATGGCGTGCCATAGACAAGCGCTCTGCGTGCCAAGTCTGGCACTCGTGCCATAGGTGGCCGACCTCTGATATAGAGCAGATATACATATATACATATAAATAGATATAATACTATATTTAATATCGTGTGTGTGTGTGTGTGTAAGTATGCACACACACACACGTGTGTGTATATCTGTGAGAGGGAGGGAGAGAGAAAAAAAATCGAAATCACATAGAACTTGAGCCAAAAATATTTATCCAACATACTACCAAGCATTTCCCAATGATAAGGAAAAAACGGAAAAAAAGGTGAGCCACAGGTCAGCTCCCTGCTCCGGCCTGTCGCTCGAGCGGCCGAAGCCAGACTACTCTGCGTGTGTCACGTGGCGGGTGAATGGAGTACGTGAGTGCCTGCGTCCGCTGCGGATCACACGTAGAGTTTTCACTACTGTCAGTGTAACCTCAGAATATCTTTCCCTCGTCATGGTAATTTCTTCTCGTTTTAGTGGAATCTTAGATTATAAAACCCTTCGTCATGGTTATATTTATACGACGGACAGATATCCTGGTACGATGCCATTTTGTTTATTTTTTGGATGGGAGTACGATATGTATCCATGAATGATACGATGTTTTAAGAGATGTGTGGGAGCCACGAGTTACCGGTATTCACTTGTGTAATGCAGTAAGAAGGATTATTAGCATGACTATAAAGGGAAAAAAGAGAAAAAAAAAGCCAGTGACAGACTCAAAACATGACGTGATGGATTTCTTTTATTGTTAAAGTTTACACAATCCAAGCCCGAGGAATGAGTGAAAAAGAGAGAAACACTGAGGGGATTATATCGCTTGCTTGTACGCTAGATTTACATAAACTATTACATGTTGCTTTGGAATTCTCAAAGCAAGAGAGAATGTGAATATAATCACCGGAGAATTTAGATATTTACATCATGGAGGTAAGATAACCTTTAAAATCTGGAGGGAGGAGGAAGAGGAGGAGAGGGAAGCGGAGAAGCGGAGAGGAGGAGGAGGAGGAGATGAAGAGAGGGAGAGGGGAGGGAGGAGAAAAAGAGGAATTGGAAGAGGAGGTAGAAGAAGAAGAGGAAAGGAGGAGAAGGAAAAAGGAGGAGGGTGAGGGGAGGAAGTAGAGGAAAAGAGGAGGAGGAGGAGTAGGAGGTGGAGGTGGTAAAGGTAGCAAGAGAGTGGGAGGAGGAGAAGGAGGAAAAGAGGAGCAGTGGGAGGAGAGAGAGGAGGGGTGAGGAAGAGATAGAGAGTAGGAGAAGAGAAGGAAAGGATTAATAAGAGGAGGAGGAGGAAGTAAAGGAGGTTGAGGAGGAAGAGGGGAGGAAAAGGTGGAAGAAGAGGAGGGGGAAGAGGAGAAAAAAGAAGAAAATAATAATCAAAATAAAGAGGAAGAGGGGGAGGAAAATAAGAATATGAATAAGTAAGAACAAGAACAAGAAAAAGAAAAGAAGTAGGAGGAGGAAAAGAATGAAGAAAGGAGGAGGCAAAAGCAAAGGAGAGAAAAGCGGAGGAACAGGAGACAGAGAATATGAGAGAGAAAAAGAAGGAACATGTAGGAAGTAAGAGAGAAATACGAGGAAGAGATTAAGAGGAGAAAAAAGAGAGCCTGTGTAAAGAAGGATGATAACGATATAAAAAGTTTTATTAATTCAAACCGACGTGGAGAAATAAAGAACAAGGAGACAAGAAAGAGATAAAATCGCAATAGAGGAGCAAAATCATCACACACACACAACACACACACCACACACACAACACAATATATATATATATATATATATATAATATATATATATATATATATAGATAGAGAGAGAGAGAGAGAGAGAGAGAGAGAGAGAGAGAGAGAGAGAGAGAGATGTGTTTTGTATATATATATATATATATATATATATATACTATATATATATATACATATATAGTTATGTATTGTATTACCATATATATATAGGATTCATTATATATACATTATAGTATTATCAGTATATATATTATTGTTATATTTTTCATATCTGTGTAATTCTGGGGTTAAGGTTTAAGTGGGTTTTTAGGGGGTAATATATAGTATAGTGGGGGGGTAGGGGGGTTGGTTTTTTTTGGTAGGTAGTTTGGTTAGATATTCATCACACCAAGAAAAAGCACAACACATATGTATATAGATAGACAGATAGATGTATAGTATACATCTTGTAATACATATATCATATGTGGTCTTTGTTTTTTTGTTTTGGTATATTATATAGAATAGATAGTAGATAGATAGAATGGTTATATATAAAGTAGCGAATATATATACCTAATAATGGGTTATTATGGGTACTGAGTATTTCTATTTACATATCACACATCTCTTATCATGAGTTTTTGGTTATTTTTTTTTGGGGGGGGGGTGTTCTTTTTGGTTGTGAATATGGCGAGCTCGTATAGATCAGCATAGTATTGTCTTTGTTTGTCGTTATATTTTAATAACTCA